AAAGTGGTCAGGGAAAGCTTAACTTCACTTCCTAAGAAGAAGCTTCATAGAAGTAAGATTTCATGAGTTCTTGTAACTACCCAGGAAACAAAGCTCTGAAATATATGACATTATACAGCACTTTTTAGTTTTTAAAGGACATTCACTTGCCATTTATTTCTCACCCAAACCCCTTTATAACTGTAACTGGTACTTTTGTTACATACAAGGTGCCAGGCTTTCTGCTAAGGATTTATACACATCATAGTCCCTCTGTTAGTAAGGATTAGCCCAAATGCTGCAACAGATAAATAATGCTAAACATTTGGTGGATGAGAAATGCATTCTTTTGATCTGGGGTCATTCACTGTCAGAAAGGACTGTGCTTCATGCTGACATTTAGAAACCAAGTCTCAAGTGACCATCATCTCCAAAATGTAGCTCTCAATGTCACCTTGGCTATTCCTCCCTGGGTTTGTCCGAAGGGAAATGAAAGATGACATGGCAAATGTGGTGGCAGATGACAGAGCTTGCAGGTTTTTACTGGCCAAGTGCGGAGGTGGCATCCATCTCTTCCACTTACACTTTATTGACTAGAACTCTGTCACATGAAAAATCTGTAAGACCAGCTGAGAAATATAGTCCAATAATGTGCCTTAGGAAGAAATGGAGAGTGGATTTTGAAGAACAGCTAGCAAAGACTGACTTAATCAAACCTGAAGAGCTGACAAGTGGCAGGACCTAACTACACATCTTTTTTCCTTTTTATTGAATTTATTGGGGTGATACTGGTCAACAGTAGTATATAGGCTTCAGGAGCAAATTCCACAACACATCATCTGTACACTGTATTGTGTGTTCACCACCTCAAGTCAAGTCTTTGCCCACCACCATTTATTCCCCCACACCCTCCTCCACTGCCCCCAACTCCCTTCCCCCTGGCAATCACCACACTGTTGTCTATGTCCATGACTTCTTTTCTCCTTCTAATAGTTTTTTGATGAATCTATCCATGCCCCCCAACCCTGACAATTGTCAGGCTGCTCTCCATCTATGAATTCATCTCTGTTTTACTTGTTAGTTCATTTTGTTCATTAGATTCCACATGAGTGAAATCATATTGTATTTGTGTTTCTCTGACTGGCTTATTTTACTTAGTAATGTTCTCCAGGTTCATCCATGCTGTTGCAAAGGGTAAGATTTCCTTCTTTTATATAACCAAGTAGCATTCCATTGCGTAAACGTACCACTGCTTTTTCATCCACTCATCTACTGATGGACATTTGGGCTGCTTCCAAACAGGGGCTATTGTAAGTAATGCTGCAATGAACATATGGGTGCATATTTTTTTTGAATTAGTGTTTTAGTGTTTCGGGTTTCTTTGGATATGCATATTCCAAAAGTAGAATCACTGGATCATAAGGCAGATCTATGTTTCACTTTTTTTGAGGAAACTCCGTACTGCTTTCCACAGTGGCTGCAGCAGTCTGCCTTCCCACCAACAGTGCATGAGGGCTCTGCTTTCTCCACATCCTTACAAATACTTGTTTGTTGATTCATTGGTGACAGACTTGAGGTGATAGCTCACTGTGGTTTTAATTTGCATCTCTCTGATGGCTAGTGATGTTGACCATCTTTTTATATGTCTATTGGCCATCTATATGTCCTCTTTGAAGAAGTTTCTATTCAAGTCCTTTGCTCATTTTTTAATCGAATTTTGTTTTGTTTTGATTTTTGAGTTTTATAAGTTCTTTATAAATTTTGGATATTAACCCCATATCAGAAGTATCATTGGCAAATATGTTCTCCCTTTCAGTGGATTGTCTTTTCATTTAGTTGATTGTTTCCTTTGCTATGCAAAAGCTTTCACTATTCTTATTCAACTTAGTCCTGAAAGTCCTTGCCATAGCAATGAGAAAATAAAGAGAAATAAAAGGCATCCAAATTGGAAAGGAAGAAGTAAAACTGTCTTTATGTGGAGATGACAAGATACTGTATATAGAGAACTCTAAATATTTCACCAAAAAAAACCTACTAGAACTGATCAATTATTCAGTGAAGTAGCAAGATACAAAATAAATATTCAGAAATCAGTTGCATTTTTATACACCAAAAAATGAACTATCAGAAAGGGGAACTAAGAAAACAACTCCATTCACAAGCTTCAGAAAGAATAAAATACCTAGGAATAAATTAAACCAAGGATGTAAAAGACCTATACTTGAAAAACTGTAAGACATTAAAGAAAAAAATTGAGGCAGATACAAATAAGTGGAAGAATATACTGTGTTCATGGACTGGAAGAATTAATATCATTAAAATGTCCATACTATGCCAAGCAATCTATACATTCAACACAATTCCTATTGAGATACCAATGGAGTATTTCACAGAACTAGAATAAATGGTCTGAAATTTATGTGGAACCACAAAAGACCCTCAATAGCTACAGCACTCTTGAGAAAGAACAACAAAGTTGGGGGAAATCACTCTACCTGATATCAAACTATACTAAAAGCCACAGTAATCAAAATACCATGGTACTGGCATAAAAACAGACATATAGGTCAATAAAACAGAACAGAAAGCCCAGAAATAAACCCACATGTCTATAGTCATTTAACATTTGACAAAGGAGGCAAAACATACAATGGGGTAAAGATAGTCTATTCAATAATAGTGTTGGGAAAATTGGTCAGATACCTGCAAAAAAAAAAAAAAAAAGGAAACGAGACCACCTTCTTAAACCATACACAGGAAACTCAAAATGGATGGAAGACTTAAATGTTAGACTCAAAACCGTAAAACCCTAGAAGAACAAACAGACAGTAAAATCTTAGACATTTCTCATAGCAATATTTTTTCTGATACCTCCTCCAGCAGGGGGAAAAAAGAAAAAATAAACAAATGAGACCACATCAAATTAACCACACCTTTTAAACCTCAGCTTGAAGACTCATTTTGAATTCAACAAAGCTGCCTTTGAGATGTACATCAAAGAGCTCTGCCTGACAGGTTAAGACTGAGTTTTCATTGGAGATTCAGATTTACATGATTTCTTTTGCTTGCATGCTGTTATGACTACAATAATGCATTAACTAGAAGTAGGGTTGAGCTCTCAAATAGCTGTGAGTAGCACAAAAGTTGTCTATTCATTGCATTTTGTGCATGTGTGCTCACGTTTGCTCACCTACTATAAGCCAGGGCAATCTGGATAGCAGCATTGGACCAGGTAGGGCTTTTGTACTCACAGGTCATACAGTGGAGAAGGCAAGACACAGATAAACTATGATGACTATGAGCACAGAATATTATGAGAGGAAATTTATCGGGAAAATATTCTAGGCAAAAAGAACAGAAAATACAAGGATGGCAGGTGAAAACATTAAATACAGGTTGAAAGTAGATTGGGGAGAGCAAGGGTGGGCAGGCAACTAATAATAAAAAATACTGAACTTACTCTTTGGTCTCCTATAGCCCTAACTTACCTTTTGATATGAATGCCCCATTCACAAACAAAGCCTTTGGCCTCTCATGCTTTGTTTTTCCAAATAATTCTTAACTTTTTCATGGGAGGCACACACATACATACATCAATGAAACTATACACTGAGATCTGCTTTATCAAGAAACATCTGAATTTATACATTCAAAGAGGTCAGCTTATTTGTAGCTGAGATTCCTAGCTGCCCACACCTCCTTTTTACAGAACCTTTGTTTTTAGCCCGAGACGCTGATACCTGGATTAAAAGACTGTTTCTCATGCCCTCTGAGCTGGCTGCAGCTTAGTAGCTACCTTTTGCAGAGTGTAAGCTAAGTGTGGTGAAGAACTGGGAAGTATCTGTAAAAGGGAGAGAAATGCTTTTTTTCCCCTCTTCCTTCCTGTTGACCAGACTCTGGATGTATTAGCTGAACCATGAGTGGGTGTTTTAGACAATGAAGCCACATAGAAGCCACATGATGAAGTTGGACGAGAACTGAAAAAGACACCTTGGTTATTGATGGTACCAGAAAGCCACGCCACCAGCTCTGGGCTGCCTGCGTCCAGACCTCTTTTAAGTGAGGTCGAAGTAAGCGTGAATATTGTGTAAGCTTCCGGTGTTCATATTGTTCTGGTAAATGATACCAAAGACAACCAAACTTAGTGATCATTTTATTACACATTTGTTTTCTTTTAAATGAAATTTCTTAAGGCATAATTTACCTTACCTTAGTTTATATATCAGAAGAATGGTGGCCTCATAAACTGAGAGCCAATGTGGGTGTTTCCCATATTCTATTTTCTGGAAGAGTTCATATGGAATTAGCAACACTTCTTTCAAAATATTTGGAGGAATTCACTTGTGGGTCTGGACTTTTGTGAGAAAGTTTTTAACTATTAATTTAATTTCTTTAATTGATATGGGACTATTCAGGTTATGTACTTCTTCATTAAGCCTTGATAGTTCATGTTTCACAAAGAATCTGTCCATTTCATCTTAGTTAATCAGTTTTATTGGAATAAAGATGTTATTAATATATTCATATCATCTTTCGAACATCTAAAAGTTTGATAGTGACATTTACCTTTTTGTTCCTGATTAACAGTTTGTTCATTCTTTCTTCTTCTCTTCATCAGTCTCACTAAGAGCTCATCTGTTTTACTGGTCAGCAAGCCTGCTTTCAGTGTCATTGCTTTTCATTATTTTTTTTGTTTTCCTTTTTAAAAACTTTTAGCATGCTCTTATATTCATTATTTGTTTCTTTCTGCTTCCTTGGACTTAATTTTTTTCTTCTTTTCCCTAATTTCTTAAGCTGAAAATTTAGATTATTCTTTTCATATATTACTTCTGTTCTTATATAAATACTTGATACTGTAAATTTTTCTTTAAGTACCTGTTTGGTTGCATGTACAAATTTTGACTTGTGTTTTTTCGCATAATTCAAAATATTTTCTACTTTTCTTTGCGATTTTCTATTTAATCCATGGGTTATGTAGAAGTCAGTTTTTACAGTTCTAAATACATGGGACACTTTCCAGATATTTTTCTGCTTTTGATTTTATTAGTTTAATTCCATTGTAATAAGAGAACATACTTTGTATACTTGCAATAATTTTAAATTTGATGAGATCTGTTTTATATTTGTGGTTCAGGAACTCTCCACTGTAGTGGATTTTTATGCGTTCTTGAAAATAATTTGTATTCTGCCATTGTTGGGTGGAATTTAGATAAGTGTAAATTAGATTAAGTTGCTTGTAGTATTTTTCAGGTCTTCCGTACTCATACTGTTGGGGTTTTTTTGGTCTGCTTCTTCTACCTGTTAATTACAAGTACATATTGAAGTTTATAACTATAATTTTGGATTACAACTATAATTCAGGGTCTGGAAAAAGTAACGCCTGCTTGAGTATGGTTGGTAGAGTAAAAATATGGGTGTAATAATTTATAGTTTTAATTTGAACATTTCACCTAAAATGTCACATGGTGTGCTTGAGTGTGATATTGTTATGTTACAGGATTACATGCTTATGATTTTTTAATAAAAGATTTTGTAAAAAGGGGCATTACTTGTGCCAGACCCTGTATTTTTTTCTTTTGATAAAATATGTATTACATGATATTTACCATCTTAATAATTTTCAAGTGTGCAGGTCAGTGACATTAAGCACTTTCACACAGCTGTGCAACCATCATTACCATCCATCTTCATAACTGTTTTCATCTTTCCAAACAAAAACTTCATACTCATCAAACAGTAACTCCCCATTTTCCCTAATCTTCCTCCTTGGCAATGACCATTCTACATTTTACCTTTTATGAACTTGACCACCCTGTGTACCTCATATAAGTAGTATTCATCCCTTTGCAACTAGCTTACTTCACTTCATGTCTGCAAGGTTCATTTGTAGTGTGTACCAGAGGTTTCTTTCTTTAATGTTAAATAATGTTCCATTGTATGAATGTAACACATTTTATATATTTATGTTTCTCTTAGTGGACACTTGGGTTGCTTTTACTTCGCAGCTATTGAGAATAATGCTGCTATGAACACAAGGGTACACATAGCTGGTGAAGTGCTTGCTTTCCATTCTTGCGTGTACCTATCAGGAAATGGACTTGCTGGATCATTTCCCAGTTTTATTTTTAATTATTTGGGGAACTATAATACTGATTTTCATAGCTGCTGCACCATTTTACATTTGACCAATTGTGTACAAAGATTCTGATTTCTTCACCTCCTGACAAACACTTGTCATTTTCTGTGTTTTTGTGGTTGTTGTTTTTAGTACCATCCTAATGGGTATTAAATGGTAACTTACTGTGGTTTTCATTTGGATTTCCCTAACAATGAGTGATGATGAGCATCTTTTCATTTGCTTATTAGCCATTTGTCAACCTTCTTTGGAAAAATGTCTAGTCAAGTCCTTTGTCTATTTTTAATTGCTTTTTTGTTGTTGTTGTAAATTGTATGAATTCTTTATATACACTAGATGTTACCCCCTTACCAGGTACATGAATTGCAAATATTTTCTACCATTCCATGTATTGCCTTTCACTCTGTCGAGAGTGTCCTTTAATGAACAAAAGTTTCTAATTTTGATAACAATTTAATTATTTTTCCTTTTACTGCCTATTGCCAGATCCATTGTCTTAAAGCTTTTTCCTATATTTTCCTCCAAGAATTTTACAGATTTAGGTCTTACTTTTAGGTCTCTGACTCATTTTTAGTTAATTTTGTATATGGTATAAAGCGGGGACTTTTATATTCCCAACTGCAGTAGTGTGTCTTCTTAGATGATTAAGTAATTAGAAAATCACATGAATGAGAAACAGCAATAGGAATGTGCTTACTCAGAGATAACTATGATAATTTTAACTGTACACAGAATTTTACTAGGAGTAGACCACTCCTTAAAACATAGAATAAGCTCATGTTTAACTTCAAAGCTTCAAAGTACTCTTCATAAAAGACTCTCATCTTTAACACATTTCAAAACTTAGAACACATTTCAAATATTAAACAAAAACTTCATTGAGACAGCTTTAGGATATAGAGGGTTTTCCTATGAATATCTAACAATTATTTGCTCTATGCCAGGCAATCTGCTTATCATAAATTATTTGTTATACTCCACACACGTGGAGGTGGGTGATTTGAGTTCCATCTTACAGTTAGGAAAACTGAGGCTCAAAACAGTGAAATCATGCAAGATCCAAGCTAGCCACAAGCTTTAAAATCTGTGCTCAACCAATATACATTCTGTCTCCAAATACGTACTTAAATAACCAGAAATTTTCCTATAAAATTAAGGAAAATGTTAATCCCTACTTAAATAAGTCAGGAATAAATACTAGTATAAGCAATTTTTAAAAACTTATGTTTATAACTCACGCTTGTGGAGCGCAGGATCCGAGCCATGTTTAGAGCATGCGCAGCAGAGCAGTGACTCAGGCGGATGATGATATAGCCCCTCAGCATGCACCGTGCCGCGTGGCAGACAACTTGTGTTTATCTGAAGGGTAATACACCCTCTCAGAGCATGAGCAGTAGAGTGGCATAACCACAAATGCCTACGGAGGTTGCACAAAACAACACGTGCTTATGTGAGCTGATGTATACATTTGCCTATCGAGACGGAGAAGAATGATGTGCCTATCCACATGAATAAAAAAAAATGCCCATGAAAAATTGTGCAAAATCAACATGACTTTGCAACTAAAAGAAGCATAAAAGCAGAGGACTTCCGACTGGGGAGGGTGCAGTCGGAGAGAGAGTCACTTTGAGATATACTACACCTTCTGCCTTGGGAGAGAAAGACCTCCGCTGTCCTTCTGTCCCTCTGACTCTGTGTTGCAGGACATGGACCACCCAGCCTGGTTGCCTCTCAGACGGGAACCTGATCTGGATGCTTGGGACTCAGATTCTCTGTCCCTCAATTCTCTTGTGTGATGTTATTACTGGTTGTTTCTAAGTGATTATTATTGGTATTAGGTTAGTATATTGGGGGTTGAGTCTGCATTAATAAAAGTGAGTAAATAGCATAGTCTCCTGGGTTGGCTCACTGTTATTTCTTGGTGCTGGTATCCCCTGTAGGACTGGTGGTCCTATAAGCAGCCCAGCGCTTTCAGTTCTTAAGGCCCAGATCAGAAAACTGGAGGAGAGACAGAAGCCTGGCTTATAAGAAAGACTGTATCATGAGAAACACACATGTGACAACCTTCAATCTTATTACAGACATGTGCCCAGCATTTGTTGTGATTCCTTTATTGCATCTATTTTTAACTGTTCCCACATTTCCATTGGCAAGCAGACATGCAGTAAAATGCCATTCAAGCTGCCAGAGCACTATTCTTAATCTTTCTGTTACATTTGTACTTCCAGTTACTAAAGTACTAGTACTTTTAGTTGATTTGTCTTCACTTAGCCCAAGGTTTTTGTCTCTAGAAAAGGATGCGAAAAGAAATGCTTAATATTTTTTAAATCTCTAGGACATATTTAGAACAAAAATCTTCCAGCACTTCATACAATATTTAGTGACATTAGTAAATTTCTTTTTTTCATTTTAGTCTAACAGATAACCTGACAATTTAATGATCTCATTTTTTAAGGTAAAATTCTCATATCGTAAATTAACCATTTTAAAGTATACAATTCAGTGACAGTATGTCCACAGTATTCTGCAGCCTTTACCTCTAGTTCTGAAATATTTTTATTTCTCCAAATGGAAATTCTGTACCATTAAAAATTAATTTGCCATTTCTTCACCCTCCCAGCTCCTAGTAGCCTCTCATCTACTTTCTGTATCGGTGCATTTGCTTGTTCTAGATATTTCATATAAGTGGAATCATACAACATTTGTTCAGCTGTGTCTGACTTATTTCACTTAGCATAATTTTTCTTTTTATTTACCTGTTAATTTACTGGGGTGACATCGGTTAATAAAATTATGTACAATTCAGATGTACACTTTTGCAACACATCATGGGTACACTGTGTGTTCACCACGCCAAGTCACTCTCCTACCATCACCATGTTTCTCCCCATTGCCCTCCTCCACCTCCCTCCCACTTCTTTTCCCTCTGGTAATCACCATACTGTTGTCGGTGTCTCTCAAATTGTTTCTTTTCTTAGTCCCTTCACCTTTTCACCCAGTCCCCCAAAGCCCCTGTTTGCTGTGTTAGTCAGCTCTCTTGTCTCTATGAGTATGTTTCTATTTCATTTGTCAGTTTACCTTGCTCATTAGACTCCACATATAATTGAAGTCATATGGTACTTGTCTTCCTCTGACTGGCTTACTGCACTTAGCTTAATACTCTACAGGAAAATCCATGCTGTTGCAAAGTACAAAATTCCTTCTTTTCTACAGCTAAATAGTATTCCACTGTGTAAATATACCACAGCTTTTGTTATCCAGTCATCTACTGAGGGACACTTAGGTTGCTTCCAAATCTTGGCTAACGTAAATAAGTCTGCAATGAACATAGGAGTGCAAATATTCTTTTGAATTAGAGCTTCAGGTTTCTTTCAATATATTTTTAGAAGTGGAATCACTGGGTCATAAGGCAGTTTTATTTTTAATTTTTTGAGGTAACTGCATATTGCTTTCCACAGTGATATTAAGCATCTTTTCACATATCTATTGGCCATCTGTATGTGCTCTTTGGAGAAGTTTCCATTCAGAATACCATCCTTGCATCCCTGGGATGAATCCCACTTTATCATGGTGTATTATCTTTTTAATGTATTGCCAAATGTGGTTTGCCAATATTTTGTTGAGGATTTTAGCATCTATGTTCATCAGCAATATTGGCCTGTAGTCTTCTTTCTTTGTTGTGTCTTTTTAAAAAAGATTTTATTTATTTATTTTTAGAGAGAAAGGAATAGGAGGAGAAAGAGAGGGAGAGAAACATCAAAGTGTGGTTGCCTCTTACATTCCCCCAGCTAGGGACCTGGCCTGCAACCCAGGCACGTGCCCTGACTGGGAATCGAATCGGTGACCCTTGGTTTCCCAGGCCTGTACTCAGTCCACTGAGCTACACCAGGCAGGGGTCTTTGTTGTGTCTTTATCTGCTTTGGGGATTATGATGATGCTGTTTTCATAAAAAGAGTGTTGGAGTTTTCCCTCTTCTTGGATTGTTTGTAATAGTCTGAGAAGGGTAGGGGTTAGCTCTTCTTTGTAAAATCCTTTGTAAAATTCTCCTCTGAAACCATCAGGTCTGGGACTTTTGTGTGCCCGGATTTTTTGATTACTGCTTTGATTTTACCAGCTGTTATCAGTTTTTCAGGCTTTATTTCTTCTTCATTCAATTTTGGAATATTATATTTTTCTAGAAATTTGTCCATTTCACCCAGGTTTTTAAATTTCTTGGCATATAGTTGTTCCTAGTAATTTCTTATAATCCTTTGCATTTCTGTGGTGTCAGCTGTAATGTCTCCTCTTTCATTTCTGATTTTGATTATTTGGGTCCTCTGTCTATTTTTCTCAATGAGTCTGCTTAAAGGCTTGTCAATTTTGTTTATCTTTTCCAAGGGACCCAAGGGAAAGAAGGAGGGAAAAAAGAAGGGAAGGAGAGAGAATGAAATGCTAAAATCTTGTTGGGTCAAGACTGTAGTTTTGTGAACTTCATTATGAAATCCAGCTCTAACAGGTCAGGTAGCCCAAGTCCTTACACCTGAGTAAAAATATAATTTTCAAAATGGCTTAATGCTTCATGTCACTGGCTGTGGGGTTGCATTGGCCTAGGTTTAAACACCACAGATATCACCCTACTCTACAAGGCCTTGGAGAAATCTTTGACCTTTCTGAATCTCAGCCTTCTTATCCATAAAATTGGAATAATAATTTCTACTTCTTGAAGTTGTGGAGATTAATAAGCATAAGGAGTTTAACAGATGATGGCCAGCCCATAAATACTAACTCTTCCTCTCCTTTTCTTTGCTGTTGGCAGAGAGAGAATGAGTAATGTTCCCCAAAATTTGGTGAACTTTCACTTATATGTGACGGCAATAAAAAGGCAGTAGGTGTGAAAGAAATTCAGAGCCAAAAAGCTCATGTTAATCATTCTGTTATAATTTTTCTCTTCAAAGTCTTTTCTGAAAGCATTAACTGGTAGCCATGGATCCTGCAAACACTGGGCTCAATACTGTGACTCTGATGTCTATTTGTCCGCTGTTTGCAGGGCAGGGGCACTGCCTCTTCCAAAGTGCCTGGTGATGAATGTGGCCGTCCAAACCCCACCCCCACCACCGTGTCTCTCTCTCACACACATGCACACAATCCTGAAAAGTGAGAAGGGAAAGGAAAAAATTCATAAAAAGGACGGAGCTGATACCTTTTGTCATTCCCCCCACCCCACAGCTGTAATATTAATACTAAGCCAGCCACCAAATAACTGCAAATAGTAACATTCATTTTAATTAAATATTATCATAGGAGCTCTTGATTCAGAATGTAAACTATCTTCTTGCTGGTGAACAAATTCAACTCTGACATTACTGCAATCAAAAGAAAATAAAGCAAAACAAAACCCCGAGTATATCTAAAATAAGATATTGTTACCAAATCTCCCGGCTTCCTTTTCCACAAAAGAAATGCAATTCTCCTAATTGCCCCAGCTGGAACGCACCACATTATCTTTCCTCTCCTTTGTCTCCCCATCCAATCCATAGGAAATTAAATTAATTCTTCCCTTATAATCATCTTTCTAAGAAAATCTGTTTTCCTTTTCACACTCTCATTATCCTAGTAAACAATACCGAATCTGGATTTCTCACACCACCCCTGAAAACCTCCACAGTGTGTTGTCACGGAAAGCCTTTCTCTCTCTCTCTGTCTCTCTCTCTCTCTCCGTCTCTCTCTCTCTCTCCGTCTCTCTCTCTCTCTCCCCCCACACCCCTCTTCACATCTGAGCCCTGCCAACAGATTCACTGAAAACACAACAACAAACCACTACTTGTACCAAGTCTACAGAGAAAATTTCCTAGGGTCTGTGCAGCTGTCCACCTCTGCTGACCCCAGTGAAGCCCTTTGCCACCCTTTTCTTTCTCCCAAGACCCTTCTGCTCACTGGCCTTGCAGTCTGTACTCTCCCCGTCTTCTCTTCTCTGTTTACTTGTGTCTAGCATTATGTCTACCATATAATAGTCACACATCTATAGTGGTTTATGAATGAATTAATTAGCCCATCCTTCAGACCACCCAAAGAGGACGCAAATTCCCCACAGAGTCACTTCACATATCCCCATGTACCCATGCTTTCACTTAATAAATATGAATTTTGGAGGAAAGTAATATTAGGACAACTATTTTGAGGGGTGAATCATTTTAGTGTCTTAATAGATCATTTTCCATTTTAGGAAAATTTTATAAGAAGATAGCTTTAAAAGTAGAGGCATATATTTAATATGGCAATTTAGAAGTGTTTATCTTCTTTGACACAGTGAAACTAAAGTAAGCAGGGAACCAAAACTCTGTCAGAAAAGAACAGATTGAACCCTATGAAGGATATTTGGTGCAGTCTCAAAGACCAGAAATCTGTCTGTCAGCAAGTTTGGTTTATGACTAAAAAGTCCTTAGCACAGAATGTTGCTTTTTGTATGGCATATGGAACATTGGTTTTTCAGAGGCAATTTTTAAAGATTATTTAATCTGAGGTAGGCCTGTTCTGGGCATCTCATATCAATTCCAAAGTGAACTTCAAAAAAATTAATGTTGTGACCTCAGGTAAATTACAGATTTTTTTTTTTACTTCACATGTCAAGTAGTAAAATTGATCCCAAGACTATTTTTATATGAGAATTTTTACATTTAAATAGAGCAAATTATTTAATTTTCATTTTTAATCATAAAAATGGTCCAGAGGCCTTAAAAAAATAAGAATTATAACCATATATGTAGAATCTCCCATATCTTACCCCGACCAACCGCCCAAAGCAGAGAGCTTTAAGGTAGCCCATCCAAAACTGTGGCATGAGACACAATTATTCCTGTTTCTTTAACATTATCCACAACAATAATAAATTGTAGCCTCAACGAATAAGAATTTTTAACTAGAGCCAATTAATATGAGCTCTTTTAAATTTTGTTTCAGATAATTTTGAGTATAAAATTAGCTGACAAGCCCGGGGT